ACCCCAGTTCTTTCAACATTTCCTTGTAGGTGGTTTTCTATAGCCTACTATTTTCCTCTCGACACTCCGCAACTGGTCCACCACCTTAACAGGTGAGGGCCTGCACTCATCTCTATACACCAGCTGAAATGCTGAACATAGTAACAAAAGTTTCATTTCACTCTTCCTGTAGATGCTAGCACTCTTTCTACATCCCACTTGATTTCCTTTGGTCACAACATCATCCTAAGTTACTACGTATTCAGCTTGTTCTCAACCATAGCTCTGAATTGCTATAAACCTCAATATCTTTGCACAGTATGGTACTAAGTCAGACATATTACTGCCCTGAGTGATATCAATGTCCTGTGCCTCTGCAGTCTGAAATACAGGTACATTGTACCCACTAACATGCAAGCTAATTACTCTGATGATAAAAGAAGGTATTCAGAAGTTTTAGGACTGGTAGAGGAACATTATGAGCACACAGCATGATCTGCAAAGCACCAGGCATGACATTTCACCTAGTAAATTCTGGATAAAATATGTGACTTCTCTTTTAAGTGCAAGATTTATTTCAGGAAAACAGGCACCACAACAGTGTTAGTTTCCTTCCTTCAAGAACAAAACTTTCATTGTCCCTTTCCTTTTTCAAGGGGAAAGCTCTCACCCACGCCCCTTAATTACAGCAGTAACTCGAATTTGATAAGACTCATCCAGCTCATAACTCACGTGCTCTGCTCTGGTCTCAATCAATAGGACATTTATGTATAAAACTAGCCTCAGTAAAGAACTCACCATTAGGCAATCTAATGCTATTAAGCAAGATTATCAGCTCATGTAAATCGGCTGTTGGTGCCTATTTATTAAAACAGAGGATGTAGATCATTAAATACAAGTGCTAGATAGTCTTCTGTGTGCTTGCATGCAGTTTCCCAGGCTGCCGCATTTTTTTCTGTAATACATAGTGGGATAGAATTACATAAAGAGAAAGAAAACAAACCTAAGCAGTGAGGTAGCTGCCCCTGAATTTCTTGAACTGCTGCGTAAACTCAGAGAATTCTGCCAATGAGTAATAAAGGACAGAACTAAGTTCCTGCAAGTCATTGCACCATGACAAGCCAGTCCTTGGAAGGAAGGTATCTGTATTATTACACAGATGTTACTCCTTTAACATCTCATTCATCTGTGCAAAACAAACAATTCCAACTGACAGTGCAAAGCAGAGGCTGTTTTTCTCTTGAGTTGACAGACTTTAAGACCTATGACAAGGGGAGAGAATTCTAAAGCAGCAAAGGATGCAAACTATTTGGTTTTAACACTGGGAACCAGCATCTCCCAGACTCTGTTTCAAGGGAAAGCGCATAACAAAATCAGCTAATTTTTCATTTGGACAGCAGAGAAAGACTCGATCCTATTTGCAGGACTCTCTCCTATCTATGTCATCGCAGTTTTGTCTACCTTCCATTTCTGACTTTAAAAGAAGAGTGGGGTGGAACATACAGAGGCCCTTCTATCAGAAGATTCCTTCCGGACACATCAAAAGCATCGGCATCTCTCTCAGACGCTCACTGCTCTGCGTGGCCAAGCATCGTCTGTTCTGTGCAGGAATTACAAGGTTGTTCTACAGCCTCAGTTTGGCTCAGACACATCCTTCGGAAGAAAAAAAAATGTAAACGATCACATTTTTCAAGTGTTCAAGATGCTGCAGCTTCCTATCATTTCCACAGCGGGTGGCAATTCACCATCACTCCCAGTATAAGCTCTAGTATCTAATTCTAGAAATATAACCTTTCTTAAGCTCATATACAAACGATTATTCCAACTTCCGTTTTGTAAAAGCATAAAGTTACTGAAAACTGCTACAGAATCATGGAAAATAGGAATTCCCTCCAGCTGGAAGATAGGATTAACTACAGTCAATCCTTAACTACAGTCAGTCTTGGCTGACATTTGGCTGATGTGTTCTCACAGACCCCCAAAGTCAAAGGCTTCACACATTTCCATATGTAAAATACTCCAGTATTCTACACAGGCAACCTCAATTTGCATTCCTCCCATTTGCTTCTATTTCCTACCAATCATGGAAAGGAAGCACACACATCCCTTCCTTTCTGTCACCATCTTTTAGAGCATCTGAAAATGGCTCTTTATGGTCCCTTCTCTTCAGGCCAACCTATTTCTTCAATCTTTCTTTGCAGTTATTCCAGAGCTTTGAACATCTTGCTACTTCTTCTCGGCTCATGGGCATTCCTTGAATAGGCTCTGCTGTCTTTAAGAGTTGAACATAGGTAATGTGCTTCATTTGCTACGTGAAAGTCAAGGTACTTTGCATATTGTTGCCTAAGACCTTAAATGCATGCAATTAAGAGAATTTAGAAATTGCCCTCCTCTCCAGAGCACTTTCAAAATGAAGGTAATTAGTAAGTTAGGAAAGTAACACAGAATTAAGAATCCATTTCAGATGAGGCAATTCAGGAGAACCTAACAGGAAACAAATGCCAAAATCTGGGTGTTTTCCGTAAGGTAAGGCTTCAGCCACACGGTGTGCCGTCAAAGAGCACCAGTTCTACGATGTTTACACTGCTCCTTGGGACGCAATCCTACAAGTGGGAAATCTGCGGTCTCAGGGCACTGCACAAAGCATGACAGGAGACATGCAGAAGTGCAGTGTGTTTGTGCAATTGCAGGATCCTTTTTTCTACATATGGGCACCTGCTTTATTCCAAGTATCTTTGTTGTGTCCAAGTATCTTTATTAAAAAATAAAAGCTCAAGATAGACAGTCAATAAGCAGTGTAAGAAACAGTTCAAAATTTTTCTCTGTGCATTATGTCACAGTAACTGCAAGATGACAACAAAAAGGATGAAATAACATCTTGAGTTGCAAATTAGACTCTCCTTGTTTTAATCAGTGTTAAATATACACATGTATCTTCTGAAGAGAAAATATTTTAACCTGAAGAATAACTTACAGGTATGATCAACTATTTAAGACATCCTCCCTTTCAGGGACATGCATTTTTTCCATTAGTCTTCCCATCTACAAATACAAAGTAAGAAATTTTCTGATAGTATTTCTTTCACTCTTAAACATCTATCACATTTGAAAAACTTACAGGCTTATTGTACGTTATTAAACAGAGAAGTTCATGACAACAGAGTTCTGAACACGAAAACCATAAGGATACTGGCTTTTTCATTTTAAGGAAAAAATAAAAAAAATTCTACCTGAGAAATTATCCCTTATGATGTAATGTGTACTTTACAGAGTAAATGGCATTAGCAGGATTTTACATCTCTCTCTTCTTAATTAGGCAAAGCTAACAAAGTTACCATACCAATTGAAGAGCCAGCATGACAAGTTTTTGCCAGAAGCAGAATAATTTACTCCAGTGCTTCAGTGGCAGGAGACTGCTGGAACTGAGAGGATTGGCAGGAAAAAGCATGCAGCACATTCCAGGATCAAAACAGCAGGGAAGCCCCAGAGCGCACCTGGAATGATACAGTAGTAAAACCGCCGCACGGCAGTAGCTAATTCATCTCTCCACAACTGTACACATTTGAACACGCAGCCAAAAACTGCAGATCAAGAGAACGCAAACCACAGACTCAACCTACCTCTACTCAGTGAAAGGTGGAAAAGCTGCAACCCATAGATAGCCCTTCTGCTTTAGCAAGGAAAGAATGGATACAGGTTTGTTGCAAGTAAACCTGAGCTCCATTCAGTACCTTGACACTGGTTCACAAGTTCTCCTGGGTCTGTACCGTGTATTATAGTCGTAACTCACTAGCAGCTCTAGTGCCCTTGTCTTCCCTGCACAGCAGGACTGGAACAAACCTGGACACACACGCTCATATGAAAGCTATTATCCCTCTCCAAAATACTGAAGAAGAAAGCTTACTTCATTGACCAAAAGCACAAGCAGAAGCAGGAGGAGAGAGTTATCAGGCTTCCACTTTCTTCCCATCCAAAGCCTAATGTTACACTAACACTTCACTTGCAATTATGCTACTGCAAATTTGATGGAACAATTGGTATTTGTACACACTTCTGCTTACACTTAGAGCAAAGAGCTGCGATTCTCTGAGATCTCTGTTCTGTGAGCCCATGTTAAACAGGAAACTATGAATACCTCCATTTCTATCTACTTGTAAGAAAGCAGGGATAGCTACAATTTTCTAAAATCTAGTCAAAACTTTTACATGGAGAACACACTAATTGGGACATCAAAACCAGAATATTTTCTTTTCATGGGAAAGACATCCCTGTGGCATACACCTTCACATCCTTAAAAAAAAAAAAAGAGGGGAAAAAAAAGCAGATAACATTCCCCGTCATAATTGCATGCAGTAGTTAGTTCACAAAAAATCCAACTGTTATTGGAAGATTTCTTATATGGGTAGTTTCTCCTTCCATTCATTTAGTATTACACTGTTACCCAGTACCTCCTACATGTACAGCAGGTGGGTCACACAGGTTCTGTGTAATAGAAAGATTCCACTCCAAGAGCAACCTGTTACATATCATAGGGATATATCAGTCTCAAATCAAGCACATTTGAGGTACTCATAACTCTGGTGTTTAAAAGTTGAATTCACAGGTTCTCCTCTGAAAAAAGAGGAACTTCTCTGGGACTTTTCCATGCTATCCCTCTTTTAAGCTTGAAAAGTGAACAGTTCCAAGGTTTTGATGATCCCAGGAAAGTCTAAGCCACCTGGCCACTGTTTACTGCCCATAAGTTTACTGCAACGTTTCTTCTCTATTCCCTTTGTGCAGCTTTTCTTTCAGCTTCCCTTCTCTTCAGTTGCCATGTCCTGCCTTTAACCTTTTCCTTTAACTACCTGGAAAATGCATGATGAAGGTGAAAAAAATACCTGTTAAGCAAAAAAAGGTAAGTGTCTCCTTAGGAAACAGATGAGAAGTTACGAAAGGAATGGATCTTGATGCCTTAGGGAAACAAGAAATTACAAACTGACAGTTTCAAGGATAGCAGGCATGCTCTATTAGCAGTCAGGTAGTCAGTAGACTTGAATGACATCGTCCCATTCATCGACAGGCCAGACACCATTGTACTGCACGTTGGATGGTGAGCTCTTCCAGTCCCACGTCTTCACAGGAACCTTCCAGTCTGGGCCATAGTTGGCTTCAACATACTGACGGGTTTCACAGGGCACGTGTACCTTGAGTTCTACAAATTCAGTCCAACACAGAGTAAACTTTGGAAAGAGATACCTGTGTTGTAACAAAAGGACATGGTCACTGGCAGAAGACTGGAGAAAGCAAGCAACTGCAGCAAGTGTGCATGTTACATTTATAATATTTTTTTTCTTATTTCATAGCTTCCTATCTATGAAATATTACTTACATCCTGGACAGAGATGTTACTATCAACAGTAACTGGTTAACATTTGCCACATGTTCTTAGGAAGGAGCACTTCTAAGTCTTTTGCTGCTTATTCCCATATAATTCTGCTACCTATAGGAAATCACTTAATCCCTGTCTCTACTTTTCCATTTACAAACTGGATTTAACAGTTACCTCATTTAGAAGGGTGTCAAGAGGATGATACATGTTATTTGGTAGGGGAGATTTTGAGAAAAGTAGCATTAAATACTTTATTATGAGTCAGGCCTTTTTTAAAAACAAGTTTTTACCTTTCTTCAATCTTACCAAACAAAGCATGCAATTCCCTTTCAGTACCCGTGTTTAAACATGGTGCCAGACTTGGAGCAGCTGCAAAGAATTAAGATATAGCTGCCACCCTGTACTTTCTGAAACCATCTCAGCCCATTCAAATTTTAAAAAAATTTATTCTACCAAACTGACCTTGTTCTGTACCTGTCTTTTTTTCTGTAGAAGGACCAACATAAGCCCTACCTATAAGTATGCTTACACCAGTGGAAATTCACAGGTAAATTTCACAGTTTGATCAGAATGACATCCTATAGGAGCCCAGTGTCAGAGTCAATGTGTTAAACAAGTGAATACCAAAGACTATGTACTATTCCTGCAGAGGACTAAAGCTGTTAATTCTTCCACAGAAAAAAAGTGATCTTAAAATTCCTTTTCGCAGGTTACAATGAAACCATAAGCACTTAGACCTTTTGAAAAAGAAGGTTAAAAGATTTTTGCATTTGCGTGAATTAGAAACCCCACGTGTTCCTCTAAGCATAAAGTTCATTTTATTTCTAAGCGCTGAGCAAACAGTTTCAGAAAATGAAACAACCTTGCTTTTATGCCTTAAATGGAGGAAAAGAAAAAAGTGATCAAGCACTTTTGGATATATATCCAGAGACTACTGATTAGCTCTGAACTAAACCAAAAAGCAAAAAAATGCCAGCTACCAAGGGGAAAACAAGGTAAACAAACTTTATTAGTAATAAAGTCTGTATAATCATCAAATAGCTATTTAGCTGTTATTAACCCAGGAAATCATCCATCTATCAGAACTGCAGTGGGTGTGCATATGCAAAAGCTATCAGCAAACCACTGAAATAATACATCCTCCAGAGACTGAACTCTAAATAATAATTCTAAGGAGAACCAACAGATAATTTAAATAAACTAATCTGCAAATTAAAAAGTCAGTTGGAAATTTCACCAAAATAATTATTTAACTATTATTAAAATCAAATGTTTACATTCACTGACGAAAAATGTAGCTTTCAGTGATGCTTCACACTAGTGGAATCCTTGCTCATCGTTTGCTCACTCCAAGTGGCCTGGATAAGGCTACATAGTCTTGTACATATACGCTGCTCACTACTTTTTCTTCCAATTTCAGTCTCATCAATCTTTGGACATTAAAGTACTGAGAAGATTTTATGCTTACACAATGTTCTCTACATTAGGAACCTACAGAACTAACTCATTTTAAGGATTAAAGCATACAGTATAGATTTGATTCCCAGAGTCAGTTTTTGTAAATACTACTTCTCTGCCGAAGAACACAATTGTCCGGCATTAATTTTGTAAACAAATAGAAGGTCTCAATTGCTATAACTCCAAGACAAGATAAGGAGGATATAGATGCTTGCTTCTGTCTGCAATGTTGAGGAAGTATCTGCGTACATGAAAATGCAAACCATGCAGCTGACTGGTAAGGTTTAAAAACCAGCTCTCCAAGGAAAGAGACTAAAAATGACTATTGAAAAATATTTTAGAGACTAAATGAGAAACACTTTTATTCTTCATACTTTTATTTAGCAAGATATATAGAAAGTTGCCTGTGCAAATATTTAGCTTTCTGAAGAAAATGTCTTTTACCCTTCATTTTTAAAAACATTAATATCTTGGAATAGAACTCCCACCCTTATCTGTGACGATCTAGTAGCAACCAATATCTCTTCTGATACCACATAAACAGCTGGTGAAATTTCTTTAAAATTGTTAAAGTGGATTTAGGATTCAGCCTGATCAAACAATCACTTCTCTTTTGACTGACCTCTTCATTTTACCTTCCCCCAAAATTTCTAAAGGGCTGAAGACTAAGCAAAGTTGAAGGTCATTCTGGTGTTGCAGGCATTCAGATCAAGCATGTTAAATCACCACATCTCACAGCTAAAAAGCTGTGATCTTTTTTCTCCTTCTGAGAATGTATTTGGAATAATACGTATCTGGAATTATTTGGCTAAGCATTCTGAACAGCCATGTTCTGCCAGGACTTGGGGCCTTTATAATGGTAAACAAGCAGTTTTCTTTTTCCTTTTCTGTATGGATTAAGTACAGTAAAATATGCCTAAGAAACACGAGTTCAGAATTAGAGGCTTCCTTTCGCTACTAAGTCTAAGCAAAGTAGTTCTTATTGAACTAGAAAGCCATGTTTGTAAACTGAAAAAATTACCACCAAAAATAAGTACTAGGCTACAAGAAGAGAAGAGTGTTTTATGAAAGCTGGAGTTCCAAAAGAGCTGTAATATTCTAGGATACAGGAGCTGGAGCATAGCACAGGTTCACATCTACCTTCCATTCTCATGCCTTGGACCAGTCATATCAAAGGGGGAAAAAAACAGCTCTCAAATACCCAAGGTCTGATGCTACAATGGAATTATGAAAGAGCATGTCAACTCCACTGGCATGGAAACAGCTATTGCAATTTAGACACAACAGAAGCACAAAGAAAAGGAAAGGAATTTATTGGTCAGCCTCCTCCTCAGAATGCATCACACAAAATCCTCTAAAATCTTGTATGGAAAACCAGACATTAAGCCTACTTTGGAAAACTGTAAAATTGTTGCTGTATTCTAGGAAAACATTCTGCAACACACCACATTTTCTGTGGGAACATTCCAGCAGTTCTTCCTTCAGTCTATTTGTAAATGTGTTTTTTGACTCTGGTCATCAAAATATTTTCCCCAATCTTTGTTTATCATTTCAGAACAAAGATAACTAAGACAAGGACTCAGACATTACCACCATCTGGATGGCAGTGTTCACTAAGTTCCCATTAGCTAAACATATGCAAATACAGTTCAGGCAAAATATGAAAGACAATGAAATCCTATGGAAGTCAACAAGGTTTTCAACTAGTCTGCAACTGTCTCTTTCTGAGTTAAGGTGGGTGATGGAAAGAAACAAATCTAATTATCGAAACCTATATTCAGTTTGCTGAGCAGATTAGGAAGCTGTTGTACTTATTTGCTGATTTGATACTGAAAGGTATGAGGCAAGAAATACGGGCTCCTATTTAAAATTCCATTTTCAGATCATGAACAACAACAAGGTCTGCAGTAGTCATGTACATTGCTGTCACAACATTACAGTCAATAAAGTATTCCAAATCATTACCACAAAATCCAAAACGATGGGGTTTACTTTGCAAGGACAGTTGAGGCTTTCTGCCATCACACATCAAGATGGATGCCTACGGATTCATTTTTTACTGCGGAATTAGTTTGTGCAACAAACACAGCCTTAGAAACTTCTTTCTCATCTTAGCTGTTTAACTCAGAGCTTGTCACAGTCCAGATAAGATCTGCTTGATATGTGACACACCAGCACTGCTTTCAATTTCACAAGAGAATTGACATTTGACAAGCCCAGCACCTCTCTAGTAACACACAATACTATTCTCTTTCTACTTCTCTGGTCTCAAAGTGCAAAATCTCCACTGATTCTCCTTTGATAACTGCCTTTCCCACAAAGAGCACAAGACTCTGCCAGGCAACAACACATAACACACAAAATGCCAACACTAAACGCTAACTTGTTTAATTTCTTCCCTATTAGAGGTACAAATCCAGCTCATACTTAAATTTCTTGCCCGATTTGGCCTGAGTTCCTCCATTCCATATGTAGTCATCCTCTTCATAGAAGAAAAAAATATCAAGTTTCACATCATCTTCTCCCTGGAAAGAGAGTTCCAAGCTGTCTTCTACCTGCAAGACAAAAATACACACTATATATACTCATAAAAATACATGGCTACTTATGTCAGTAGGTTTCTGAAAACAAATTTATTTTGATTAGGTGTGCAGAGTGACTCCTATCCTTACTAAAGAAAATACACTAATTCTGCAATTTCTTTTTTTTTTTTGATGCCTTGAGAACATCAGAAATTTTCTGCACCTCAGTGGGACTACCTTTTCTTTCCTGCCTTTAGCCCCAAAGCTTCAGCACCATCTCCTTGTCCTCTGCCACAAGCAAAATAATGTCAGTGAATAAATACGATTAGTAGATGTCTTCATTTAACACACTTCCTCTGTGATAAAACACACACTAGCACGAGTAATGATGTATCACTTGAACTGTGGTTGAATCTTCATATTCCTGTAATTTTGTTTCTTCTCTCTACCCTTCTGCAGCCTACACTCTGAAAAAGCTAAATAAAGATCCACATAAGCTAACAGCAAACAAGCTCAGTGCCCACCTCAAGCCAGCCTTCCCTTTCTGCTAGTTTTACATACAGGGCCACAGATAATCTCAGCGCTATCACCAATCCTCCCATATGATAAGGCCCATCCAATCTCAAAGACTAAATCCTATCTTGATTCTTAAGTTTCCCTAGCACCACTGACACAGACCCCTTTAAAACTTAGTAAAAACTTCTTCTGAGGTGGAATTCAGACTCCCCAAACAGGGCTGAAGCTATTAAGAAAGGTGTTTTTTCACACACTGTCCAAGAGAACACACAAAAATCAACAAGATTATAAATTTAGGTAAAACCCTAATGAGTAAATGTCTGCCGAGGAGACTTCAGATACCTACTTCTACGTAAGTGATCTGCAGCTGTACTCAAACTTACGAACCTACAGAAAAGACACATGAAGCAAATCGTTCATTATCTATGTACCTTGCCAAATTTGTGCTTTAGTGGTAACCCTGCTTTCTGAAAGGCTGGAATGATATCTGCTTTGTAATCCCTTATAAAGACTCCCAAATCCACATCTTTGCTATGAGGAATGACATTGCACTGTCTATACCAGCCTGAGAAAAGAAAAAAAAAAAAAAAGGAAAAAAACAGACTAGTTAATTCAGGAACATAAGAAATATATCAATAGAACAAAAGCAACATAAAAATGAACTGCCATAAGGTCACCAGGCAGAGATCTTTGAATGAGGCCATAAACAAGACTTCTGCCCTTCTCTAGTATGAAATGAACCACATAGAAGAAAACAAGTATTACTGCACTTATAGCCAGCTCTTTCCTCCAGAAAGCCAAGAATGAGAGAGAAAACACTAACTCTTTCAAAGATAAAATAGCTTCAGCTTTCTAATCTAAATGTCTTCAAAGAAAAAAATACTCTTTATCTGGGCCCAAATCTAATCAGCAATGAACAGTTACAGGGCTACAGCTGTGCTTTTAATTTGAAACTATTATTTTAAATAGTACCTGAGACATTAACCATCTTTCAAGCACCACTGCAAAACAGTAAGACAGGAAGGGGAACATCCTTTTGTCTATTTCATTAAAGCAGCTTCTAGTAACTGTTCATTCCCTAGAACTAAACAAATACAAGTTGAATGTGCACACACATGAGTTTTCAAAACCTATTTCAATAATAAAAGAATCTTCACCAGTGATAAGATACTACTTCCACCTTCAGCAGAATTGAAAACTTGCAGTACCTACTCTAATAGGCTGACATTTTATAAAAAGGATGTGTTTTAAAATAAATAAATAAATGTAAAGTGTATTTTAAAACTCAGTGATAAGCACCAAATTGCATGGGAAGAAAAATCAGGTGAGGGTCTACATGGACAGCAGAAATACATGCCCATCACTGTGTTTTCCAACCAGCATTTCAGTAAATTCTAAGCCACACAATTTAGGGAACTGCTGATTACTTTCTAAGCAGTGATCAATACAACACAGATAATTGCTAACAACATTAAATACTTCTCTGGAAATCTGCTCAGCATCTCCAAGGCTCAAATTTCTAAAGAAAAAGCATTTTGTCAGGAGCAAAAAGGCCTATTTCAATATAGCTAATGCCACATATTACCTTCCAACGCGATACATGTAGCTGCTCACCTCAGCTGACATCACAAGCAATAGAGAACGAAATGTTTAAAATTTCAGATGAGTTTAAAAATGCAACGTAACACAAATGTTTTACCAAGGCATGTTCCACTGCTCAGCCAGAACTTTACTCCTAAGTTATTCAGTGTCAGGGCAGCCAGATGGAGCAAGGATTTTGCTTTTTTTCTGAACTCCACTGCATCAAGAGAGGCATCATCAGGATACAGCTGGAAGGCAAAGGAAGAATAAGCAAGCTATTGTCAGAGAGCAAACTTGTGCCTTCATTTTTCAGTGTCCTAAGGAAAAATGACCTTTAAAAATTTACCTAACTAATATCTGGGCAGTATCTGTTTTCACATATACAGCCCAGTTTGAGAACATGCACTAGAATAAGTTAAAATTTAAACTCTGAAACATCAATCTTCATTTTTTCCAAACTAGCAGAATGTAAAGTCACAGTAAAATAGAATAAGAATATATGTATTAGACACTGATTCTCAGCACTTGGCAACAACACAGATGAACCCTAGTTCTGCACACGCTGAAGCCAATACCCGCAGTCCAGAGGGAAAACAGGGACAGAATCAGTTACTTCGAGCACATTGGTTTATTTGGCTCCACCAAGTGTTACAACTGGATGTTGACAACTTCTGCCATATAGTAGAAACAATGTGAACAGAAAATCATGCCCATCTTCCAGGTACAACTGTGGCAAGATCTTCTGTAATGCAAAGTCAAAAACAACACGGCAGCCTGGGCAAACATTACCAAATCAAACACAGGAACAACGCACCACTCAGCTTCACGACTGATTTCATTAAGAGCTCTTGGGCAACAAACAGTTTAAATGAATACTTACTTTTCAAAACAGATGCCAGGTGCTTATTTCAATATTAAAGCCCCAGCAAAGTTCAACGTATCTTGTGAGGCACATTTTGTCTGCCTGTGGAGATTACTGCCTGGAGGTTTTAGAGCTGAAATGGAGCATGCTTACAATTTCCCTCCTTTACAGGTGAAGTGACAACACATAGGTACCCTTGGATATAGTAATCGTCCTGCTACACTTAATTGTGGTAACTCTTGACCACTTTATATCTTGGCCCTTTTCAAGTTAGGACAAAATGCTCCCCATACTGCAGCAGAAAGTTTTCTACCATCTGCTAAATCGGGTAGCAATATTCTAAAAATAATGCTCTAAATAGTGGTGAAAACATTAGCTTACATGGTCAAAACGCAATGAAATAAGTAATTTTGGAATGAATATACCATTTCAAATAAACCGAACTAGGAACGTGGAACTGCAGCGCATGGTTCAAAAGAACATAAAATTAAATACTACTCAGAACTTTGAGAATTGCCATAAGGAAGATTTTCAACCACAAAGATACACAAGATCTTAGTCTTATTTACATGAAATCTATTTGATAGTAACAATGTGTGAAACCTATGAACATGTTGGTTACCTCTTCTTTTCAAAGTTTTGGAAAATGGAAAAAAATGCGCTCACAAGTAAATAAGACAGACCATGATTTTCAGCTAAAGTTTTAGGTTTATTACCACTTACTTTAGTGGTTACTTTACTCTGTGGATTGAGTCTCAGAAGCTGTATTTAGCTTTACGTATGCGAACAGTCCCATCTAGGTAAAAAACAATTAACTGTTTGTAGGTTTGGGGTCAATCAGTGAAAATGTACATTACATCTCACAGACACTACCTGATTACCACTAACCTGAAAGAAAGCCCGAGCTTCTCTGTACCTACATTCAAGAAATCTAGAGTGTGACATCTCCTCTAGAAAACTGGACGGATTTTTTGGTATTTGAACTTTTAAGTCATCAATGGAAACAAGCACAAGTTCTGGCCTGCAGGGAAAGAAAGATGATACATTACCCCGTTCAGTTCCTTTACAAACTACAAGCCATTTTTTCCTCTAGCTCAGATTAAAATCTTAATGCATACGACTGGCAGTGATTCCTCTGTCTAAATATACCCAAAAACTATTATAAAAGAAGAGCAACAAGAGCTTCCACAAATTCCAAATACACTTCCAAATTTTATTTAGAAGAAATTTGATGCCCATTAGCCCATAGTTAGTTTGTAAGATCGCGGATTCCTTTACTGACTTATGACTTGCACTGAATTTGTTCAGAGCTGTTGTTCAGTGCATATGAAAATTCAGGCTATTCATTTGGTTGTCTAAAGTATGGGATGCACTTAAGAACCAAATTTTACCCTGTACTTTGAGCTATTTGCATTTAAAATTTAAAAACTGTTCAGCCTTCACAATGAATGAAATGGGATATTTAACAGTTTACACAGTCAACTTCAAATGTTTAGCCACAACCCGTACAGCTTCCATGTTTTAAAAGGAAGAAAGAACAGTGTCAATTTTAAGGAAAAAGTTAAACAGATTTGTTTTGACCTGTGAAATGTTTGGCTGTTTTTCTCTGATTTATGACATATACACATACCTTGCATGAACACTGTTCTCAAAGCCTAGTGGTATGTGCTTGGCTTTGAAAATAGTGACAAGATTTGTATTTCCTGAAATACTGCTATTGAAAGCAAAGTAAGAAAAGGCAGATATTTACTGTAACTTTATCAATGTAATGCAGAGTTTAAGCATAACACTGGAAAAATAACACCACCATTTCAAAAGTTTATGCAAGAAAGGAGTCCCCTAAGCATGTTAAGAGCATGGGTTAGATGCAATGATTGCACATGTCTTTGTGGTACAAATGTCACCTCTCTTTATTCGTGTTCTTTAACACTGTGTGCTGGTTTTGGTTGGGATAGAGTTAATTTTCTTCATTACAGCTGGTATGGGACTATGTTTTGGATTTGTGCTGAAAGCAGTGTTGATAACAGGGATGTTTTCGTTACTGCTGAGCAGTGCTTACACAGAGTCAAGGCCTTTTCTGCTTCTCGCACCATCCCACCAGCGAGTAGGCTGGGGGTCCACAAGAAGCTGGGAGGGGACACAGCTGGACAGCTGACCCCAGCTGACCAAAGGGATATTCCATACCATATGACGTCATGCTCAGCATATAAAGCTGGGGGAAGAAGAAGGAAGGGGAGATGTTCGAGTGATGGCGTTTGTCTTCCCAAGTAACTGTTACACGTGATGGAGCCCTGCTTTCCTGGAGATGACTGAACACCTGCCTGCCGATGGGAAGTAGAGAATGAATTCCTTGTTTTGCTTTGCTTGCGCGCGCGGCTTTTGCTTTACCTATTAAACTGCCTTGATCTCAACCCACGAGTTTTCTCACTTTTACTTCCGATTCTCTCCCTTATCTCACTGTGGGGGAGTGAGTGAGCGGCTGCGTGGGGCTTAGTTGCCGGCTGGGGTTAAACCACAACACACTGATTATCTGGCCTATTACTGAATGGATTTCTGTTGCTTCCCCTTTCCATTTAATGTTCCATATCTGTATTAAACTTTTGGATATATATTGTTATAGAAAGAACACCAAGAAGCAACAGCTAGTCCTAAATCTTTTGCTATTTCTACTTTACCCCTGTGTTGATAGCACAGATGGTTATCAACAGATTTCAAACTTTTAAATATATTAATGGTAAACCACTGACTCTAGCAGAAGATCCTCTGGTACATTCATCCTCAGTCATGACTTCCTCTCTCATCTTTCAGCCTGCTTCAACCTGGCTACACAGCAACTTCCTCTAAAATGTAGTTCTTAATTTACAAATGGTAGAAAGCTCTCGTTTTCAGGTAAACAGAATTGGATTTAGTTTCATACCTTAATTTACCTGCACTTTGAGGGCTGAATTATACATAAGCTAAATTTTACAACCTGACTTTAGGAAAGAGAGTAATTTTATATACAGGAGAAAGAAGTTATTATGGAAGCGCCATCATGGCTTTTTGCCTCCTCTGTTTTGAACTCACTTTTCATATGCTCCAGGGTAGCGACCAAAGTGGAGTTTCCGAAAAGGCACAAACTTTCTGTCCATATGTTGCTTGAGCCTCAGGGGGCCATGCCAGAGATAATTACCGCTCCTCTCATAAAAGACCACCAGGTGAATGGCATGAGATGCCAGTTTAAATATGTAGTGCAACGGAATTTCAATCCCAGACAGGTCATCCATCCCGTCCAAGCGGGGGTCCTTGTTTATAATTTTTAGCCATTGGAACCCCATTTTCTCAGCAGTTCTAAAAAGGCCCACCTAAAAATGAGAGTGAGAGAGAGACAGAAAGAAAGAAAGAGAGAAGCTAAAGATTAGAGAAACCAAAATTGAATGCTAAATGCAACTGACTTTATTCCCAATTTTCATTTTCTAATCAGACATAAGCACAAACTACTCAAAAATTTCTAAAACCTTAAAGATCAGCAACCAGAAGCAATTCCAACCACTGTATTTCCTTCTCTTAAATTCTGTCCCTCAAAATATACAATAAAACAACAAATAAATCTTGTAAGCCATGCTTGGACTAGGTTTGCTCCTTGCCATAGCGCGCTTCTTTGCACCCTCGAACTGTTCTCTAAAGTTATTCTTGTGCCAAACTTGCCGTTCATAAGTTCTTGAATAATGATACCACTAATACAAAAGCGATTACTGCAAAATCTTCTTTTATTATGTACATAAATATTTGTCTAAATCTCACCGAACACCGAATGTTGCACTAGGTAACAGGCTTTCATATTTCCATAGAAAAAGGGATGAAATTCTGGCTGCTAAGAAAAGAACCACCTTTCAAACACACCGCTTCATACAGGCACATCAGCTTCTCCTCTGGACGCTACAGATATTATCAATTAGCCACAAAGGAATGGGGAGATGGATTTATATTAGTGTGCTGCCACACAACCTCATTCTCAGTTTCTTTAATTCCTTTACAGCTATGGGTAAAACAACTGTCTGATCAGACCCAGAGTGCCACCACTTTTCACTTGAGTGGGACTCCTTCAGTAAAATAGTCACAGACCATCTTAATGTTTCCTGCTTTTTCTTTATAAAAAAAAAAAAAAAAAGCTGTCACTGGTATCTTTAGTCTGTAAAAATTAATCTAATAAATATTTCCAGATGACACTTAATTCATGAAATAATCTTGGATTCCATTTTGTCCACCACATGCTACACCACTATTTTTAACACATCCATTTAAAATCTCAGAACACTGAAGAAAAGCAGAGATACCAATACATTAAGTGACAAAATAAAATGGTGTTAAGTACAAGGATGTACTAAAAGAAATGTAAATCAGCAGACTACAATAATCTTTCTAGCCTTGTCACATCAATATTTGCATTTCCTCCTTGACAGATCCCCAAACTCGAGATTTATTACGGCTGTACCTACATTACAGGCTTAAAGTTCTCCTTCTTCCTCTCTAACAGACCACTTTGTTTTTTCTTTTTGGTGTGGCCTCTTACTATAAGCATTTATGAATATTGCAGACAGCTTCTAAAAACTTCTAGTTATCTGTAAATGACTCTTAATGTCACTTTACTTCAAAAAAAAAGTTTCTTCTTCTACCAATACCTTTATGAGCTTTCCACACAATGAATTCAGAGGCCTTAATACAAACATGAAAGCATTATGTCACAAAATCATAGAACAGTTGAATGCATTACAATACACAAATGTGAACTGAAGAAAAGGCACTTACTTCATGTTTCCATGTTTTGTCCAGTAGTGCAAACGTAGTAAAGTCGCTTTGAGCACAAAAGTACTTGCATCCTGGACTAGGACCACCAGGAGAACTTCTGATCTGCTCAATGTCTTTATCAACCAGTCCCAGAATCAAAGGATCAATCAAATACACTGGTATATTGTGACTGGATATTAAGCCTAGGAACTTCCTAATCACGTGCTGTTTGACAAAGGATAAAATTAGAAGTTAGAAACACCATCTTTAAGCGTACAAAGGTTAATACATTAAAACTCTTTGACAGAAGGAAAAAAACCAACCCACTGACAGAAGGAAATCTTATCTCCCAATACATTTTCCGAGTGTGCACTTTACTTCCATGGACAACTGTGGAAATGGAAATTTTCTCTTTCAGAAGAACAGGCTGTTCTCAGGCTTTCCAGGTCTCTAAGACTAGAGGAAAAATCTTTCAGCTTCAATTAGAACTTTCTACAAGTTAAAGCACTCTAACTCGAGAGTGCTAGACTTGAGAATGGACTCTAGGCTAAACTCTGGATTCTTTCCAGCTCTAGACTGAGTTGGAAAGCACTTGAATAAACTAAAGATTACAGCATCAGATGCGATGCACGTATGGGTGCTGAGGGAGCTGGCTGATGTCATTCCAAGGTTGCTCTGCAACATCTTGAAAAGCCATGGTGGTCAGGAGCTGTTCCTCAAATCTGAGAAAAAGCAAATCTCATGCCATCTTCAAAAAGGAGGATCTGGGGAACTCTGGTCACCTTAATCTCAGCCCCCAGGAAGCTTCTGGAGCAAAAGCCCCTGGAAAGTCACATCCAAGCACATGAAGAACAAGGATGTGATTGGGAAAGCCAGCCAAAGGCAAACTGCATCTAATCACACCGACTGCCTTTGAAGAAGTCTGTGGGCAAGGCGAGATCAATGGACATTGTTGATACCTTAACTTTAGCAAGGCTTTTGACCCACTCCCAAAGAGTATCCCCAGACCTCAGGCATGATGTCTGCTGTATATGAAAGGTGATTCAGTGAGAAGGTAGGAAGTGTTATCCAGTCTTTGGATACTAGTGTACCCAGAGCACTCAACCATGGCAACATTGCATAAGGGGTTAAAAGCTGTAGGAAGAAGGTCCTGTGCCTGGTGAGAGGATTTATTAACTTGACTCAGAGGAGAATTTTAGTCAAGTACATTTAAATGTCCGTGGCACACGAAGATTTACAGCAATCATAGCCACCCTGCTACTAAAAATATAGCTGATGTATTTAACTGTAACAGCTAAATTCAATGACTTAAAGTACCACTCTACTCAGAAAAAAATATTTACTTAGAACAGCACTGTCAGGCTTTATGTCTGTTACATCTCCAGGTTTCTAGAAGAGGTATGATAAGGGAAAACAATGGCCTATTGCCCAAGCTACCTGCTCAGCAAGCTGACATTGGCTTTCTAACTGAAGCTCTAACCTTCCTCCTGTCCAGCTGCTGAGTCTGTTCAACCAGACTCCACAGGCCAACCTCCAACTCTGGCATAGGCTTCGGCTTCAGAGAGGCGTAAAAACATGAATGAAGACAGAATGTGGATTAACAAACAGAATTTAGGCAGCAGCACTACACTGTGCTGTACAGGCAGAGGCACGACCACCCTCTTAGTGACTTCAACTATATGGAGCTGCAAGGCAAGTGATGTGCTAGCATTATTTCTGTAACTAAAACTAGCAGATCAGACTGATGAACAGGAAGCAAATCTGTGCAAAAATACCTACTTCGCGCCCCCCCGCCCCTTCTCCAGGGAAACAGATGCTTTTAGTTGAAGTTTAAATAACTGGTAGAAAGAGACGGCAATGAAGTCAAGCAGCTAAGAGAAATTAATTCAAATAGAGTATTTTGGACTCATCACGCAGGGACTCTGAAGAAAGCCTGGAGTGCAACAGGTCCCTGGCAGCACTGTGGAGCATTCTTCTTTGTTACGAATGATCCTCTAGGCTAAAGCTTAATGAGAACTCTGTCCACAGACTGGCAGATTGGAAGCCCACTGTGACCATATCACCTAACATCTAGTAGGTAGTTCCAAGGGGTGCCACCTCCAAGAATAGTGAGACATTCTTGTCTCAAGCAAGCAGTGCACAGAGCAATTGGTTTGGATTATTCCTAAGAACAGCTCTTAACCAGAACACCTTTCCTCTGGCTCAGCAGAAACAAGGCATTTAAACGGCTATTTTGTTAATTAGCAACATTATCATATTGCATCCAAAGCAAAAGGCAGCCAGCTCCCAGGGCATTGTTCTCTTTAACCATCTGTGCTGCTCTTCCATTGGAGATCTGTTAACAAAAGACTTCTGTAAAAGTGTTTCCAAACAAATGCTAACTACAAATATCGTAACTGAGCTTCTGATTCCCTGAGGCCAACACGCTGTTTTGGTTGCACTCAATCCTGCAAACCTTAAGTAAGACACAACAAAAAATATCCCAATTCAAGTATCTAATGGCACTAACACTGCTCCTGAACACTGGAATACAGCAACTGGTGAATGCTGAAATGTAACATTTTCCTGCTTGTGACGAGCTTTATGACCCAGCACAAGCAAGTAACACGAAACACTGAGCAGCAGGTTAAACAAATGGAGCAAGCAAAGAGGTATTCTGTGACCTGAGACCTGCAGCCGATTCTTTTACCATGCTACTATCAGACAAGCTGCATGTCAAATAAGCCAATCTTTTCAATACTCAGTCTGAAAGAACACAAAAGCCTGGGTCAAAACCTCTATACCAGAAAGAACAAGTTTTGCTTCTTAAAATATTAACAACAGTACTAAGCACTGCATAGGCAAAGGCTGCTACGCTGTAACCATTTCTCAACTCCATTTTAAACTGATGTTTTGAAACACTTCATAACTTTATTTTTAGACCTTAATACTAGAAAATCCCCAGTGAAGAGAAAAGAGACTGGACCGTGAGTTTGCAGTTCCGTGTGAGTTCTCTGAGACCTGCAGAACTGTATGAACCAATGATGTTGTACATACCCATCTAGTGCTGTCTTGGCCTGACTGGCTTCCTCTGACTTTTGAAAAAACTGCTCCATTCTTTCAAAACCAAAGAAGGGGAGGGGAAGGGAGAAAGAAAAGAAAAATAAGTAAGTTTCAATTGAATCCCTACTTAGGATTTCTTAACAGGACATTCAGGGGCATTTATCCAGTTAGCACTTTATAATTACGGCTGTGGTTATGCCTCTGGTCACTAAACTACAGTACCGAATGGGAAGTCATGAACAACTGCTCTGGCTCAGTGTATTTAGAAGGACAACGCCACCCTTGGGGACTTAGAGACATGCAAGGATTGCATGATCAGGCCTCAGGTTTCTACATCAATGTGCCAGTAAATGTAAAATAGGAAAAGGACAAACACTGTTAGGCAAATACCACTGGGGGAAAGACAGCAGGACTATGCCTCAATCTTTCCGGACGTAATCCTAGAGAATTAAATTTGAAAGAGAGCATATTCATATCACAGAGCCAAGGCAGTCAGTGGCTCAGCTTTTAGCTTTTCTAAAGTATGAAGAATTTCTCATTCACAGCCTTGTTGTTTACAATCCGAAACTATAAGAAAGAAGTAAAAGGCTGTGGTACCAGCTAGCACTAAGACCGCCTGCATTTATGAAGAATGTCCTCACCAAAAGAAAAGAAACTCAGGAAACATGATACCTACACGGTTCTTCTGTAAAAATAAAGGCATACAGTTGCAAGGAGTTTCTTTGTTGAATCTGCATTGCAACTGCAAACTACGAAAACCAGAGTATTTCATTTATAGGAACATTTACCTCTTTTTCCGTTACAGAAAACCACACTCAGCTAAACATTCCACGAGTGGTAAAAAAGCAGGATTTAATCTATAACATCTAGAAAATTATGAACACTGAATGACAAAGCACTAAGAAAACTGCAGAAAAAGCTGGATTTTCTTTTAAAAACACCACCGTTGAAAAACCTGTAACCAATAAATGTTTGTTTCGTCAGAAAAGCCCTAAGATAGCGCTTGGTTTGACTTCACTATCAGTAAAAGTCACTTAACAACAAGAGTAGGAAGGCTTGTGAAGACTGAAAGTCTTGGTGGCTCAAACCCACAGCTGAGAACACTGGAGGGCATCCCGTTCTAGAATTAATGGGATGCCTCCGGCTGACATAAAGACTTGAATATCAGGCTGACAACTGAAATCTGATTGTACCCCTGCCACCAGAAACTTGCTCGGGCTACCTAGCCACTTCACATCAACACTACAGGGATTGCTAGCCATATGAGGGAAGTGTGGGGGTGGCGTTAATACTGCTAAGGGACTCTGAAGAGAGCAGGCATTACACTAGGTTATTCCACAAAAGCGAGCCCGAGCAGGACAGCTCTCTCTTACCTTCTGCGATAGGTAGAACTTGTAATAGTACAACTGGAAGAGGAGGAAAACCAGGCTGGTCAGAGAGAGGAGCGCCAGGACCACGTTCTTATTGATTTTCTGCATTAGTCTTTGGGGCGCTCTCGATCACCGCCTGGAAGCAGCGCGGCGTCGCTCATCTTCTCCGGTTTCCCAGCTCCTCCCTGCGCGCCGGCAGAGGAAAACGGGGCGCTGAGCAGGCCGCGCCGCCAGCCCCCCGGCCCGAACC